CCTTCACTGGGTGATGTCAGGATTGGCTGTGCTGCCTTCACTGGGTGGGGTCAGGATCAGGAATGGTTGTAACGAAAACAGAAATTGCTGGAAAATCACAGCAGGTCTGTCAGCGTCTGTGGAGAGAGAAACAAAGTTTAATATTTTGAGGCTGTTTCTGAAGAAGTCACACTGGACTCAAAATATTAACTGTTGCTCTCTCCACAGATGCTGTCTGACCCACTGAATTTCACCAGCAATTTCTGTTTTTAGTGGCTACACAATTCTGTTTTGGACAAGATTGGGTTTGTTTGACCTTTTGACCCCGTTGGCTACAATCGGCCTGTTAAACTCTTTTCACCCTCTCATTCAAATTCGAATATTTACCCAGACATATGTGAAGAATCTCTGTGTCACAGAACAAGATAAAACAGGGATGGGGGTGATCTAGGAGTGGCAGAGTTGGTAGAAAGAAAGATGGGGAGAGTTTGTTGTTTTATATGAGCAGCTTTTCTGGGGCAATGGAATTGGTTGTTTCCTTTAAAGATCATTGTATGTTCATTAGTGAACGACACTGTGGCCTTTCTCCAGTAGAAGATGATAGACAGCAGGGATTCTACTAGACAGGCTCAGGCCGTGATAAAACCACACCCGGGTCCAGATCTCAGTCAGTAATCGGGGTAAGCATTGTTCCTGACCCTGAACTGTGTCCAGTACTTCTTGCTGTATTGTGTGTCAGAAAGAGGCCAGGATTAAACAGGGTCGTGCGTTTGATTGCTTTAAACCCCAAATTGCTCCCTCTTCCTTCACACTCACTGTGTGAGCGCTCTTATTTTGAGTATATACCTGTCTCCTTGTGCAGTTTGTTGCCCAGTGAATGGCTGCATCGCCCAGTGGACAGGTCGACAGTCACACTGACATGGCAAGGTATTGGTGCTGTATGTGTGGGAACTGAGTATGAGAGAATTAGCTGTCTGCCAAATCATATTTCCTCGGGTCTGAAACACTGCAGTGGATCATCTGTTTTTGGCCTACATGTAATCCGGTAACCTACAGGTCAATCTGGTTTTATTAAGGCAAGCCACACAACACACCAGTTTACAGTCCAACAGATTTATTTGAAATCACAAGCTTTTGTAGCAATGCTCCTTCGGTCAGGTGAATGACTTCACAAGAGCAGCGGTCCAAAAGCTTGTGATTTCAAATAAACCTGTTGGACTATAACTTGTTTTAGTGTGACTTCTGACTTTGTCCACCCCAGTCAAACACCAGCACCTCCACATCATGGTTTTATTAACACAAAGGTGGCTGGTTACAATCATGGAGGAAGAGATATTGAGAGTTATGCCCATGTCAGCCATCTCCCTGTGAAGGCAGGCTGCTCTCCCTCCTGGAGCTCCCTGCTGGGAGGTAATTCCCACCCTCACCCCCTCTGCCTCTCCCTGGCTCTGTACAGATTCCTGTTTCACACTGACATTGCCCACTCTGGGTAGCTGGGGTTCCTTTGTTCTGCATCTTCCCAGTTTATGGCCTTCTCATTGATAATCCGTGACCTTTGTACGTGCCACGGTCCCTTCAAGTTTAGGCCCACCTACAAGCAGCAGTTTTTTGTATTTGGTGCTATGAAGGGAAACATTTTCATAGGAAGTGGCCACTACCTTTTATAAAATGCCTTTGAAAGAGAGAGTTTATTTTTATAGGTGTTTATTCAGTATTTATGTATCACAGAGAAGATGAAAAAAAACACTTGTAAAATTGTATTGCAGTTTATGTGTAAGAGTTTGTATCACAGGCAGGGCGGGGGGGTGGTGTGTATGTTTTATACATTTTTTTCCATGGAGTACAGAACGATCAACATTTCAGTGAAAGGGACAGGATGTGCCGGAGCTCAGCAGCTCGCCATGCCCACAGCCTGTCACACCAGGATCTGTTGTGATTTACACCGCAAAAGCTTTTTTTTAAAAGAGAGAAATCCCGCTTGTTTACTTTTATTGTTGTGTTTGGATTCTGTTTTTTTTTCTTTGTTTCCAGAGCTCTGGAAGGTTTGTGTATGTAAACACAGTACTGTGTCCGGAGACATCTTTCTGTATTTGAAAAGAATAAAAGTGCTCTTTGGATAAACATTACAGATTGAGACCCAGCAGTTGTGCCCACCCTGTCAGTGTCGTAACTGAGATTTAATGGACATTGTATCCCTGCTTAGCAGTTGTCTCTGTGAATGTGTGTGTTTTATACATCCTGTCCACAAAGTTCAATGCATTTGTGTGCTCATGTAGTTACATGCTTACCTTCATGTGTAAGAGTTCATATGTTTTAAACTGAGACCAGGGTCTTCCCTAATATAAAAGTCAGTGGGTAGTCAGCCATTTACGTGCTCCCCATTTATAGTCTTCAGGCCATTAATTGGCTGCTTGAGGGCTTCACTTTGCCCAATGGCTGAACTGCTTGGCTGGCTGTGCAGAGGATGGCAGCTCTCTGCAGTGGCCGTGGCCGTGGCTGTAGCTGTGAGCTGTGGAAATGAGCTGCCACCAGAGGTCAGCCTGGAAGTTCAGTTCAGGCTGGCAGGTACCGCAGCATGGTTAGGAGCTCGGGGTGGTCAGGGCGAGGAGTGAGGGTGAAGTGTCTTGGATTGCTCTCAAGATGGCTGCCTGCCCACTGAGTTACACTGGCACCAGCCTCACCCTCCATGGGCAGATGCAGCTTCATGACCACTTGAGGGTCACAATTAGCCTGCAGCAAGCAAGCCACCTAATGCCAACCCATCCACTGGTAAAATTGCAGTGGTAACGTATAGGCTGCTGTCCTTACATGCCATCCTGCCTATAGAGGATGTAAAACTGGTCTTTGTGTCTCAAGTATGAATGGTCATGGATAGAACAATACAGTACAGGAACAGGCATTTCAGTCCACCAAGCCTGTGCCAGTACATGACCCCTTTCTAATGTAAAAATCTTCTTGCTCCTACACAGATCATACTCCTCTATTCCCTGCTCTAATCATACATTTGTCAAGATGCGTCTTAACTGTTGCTGTTGTACCTGCCTCCATCACTTCCTCTGGCAGAATGTTCCATGTACTTAACACCCTCTGCATAAAAACCTGCCTCACACATCTCCTGTAAACTTTACCCCTTTTACCTGAAACCTCTGTCCCCTAGTAATTGACATTTCTATCCTAATAAAAAGACTTTGACTTATCCATTCTATCTAGACCTCTCATAATTTTGTAAACTATCAAGTTGCTCCTCAGATTCCAATGTTCAAGTGGAAACAAACCAAATTTGTCCAATCTCTCCTTATAGCTAATACCCTCCAAATCCGGCAACATACAGGTAAACTGTTTCTGTACCCTCTCCAAGGCTTCTACTACTTTCTGGTAGTGTGATGACCAGAATTGTACACAATATTTTAAATGTGACCCAATTAAAGTTCTGTAAAGCTGCAACATGATGTGCCAATCTATGCCCCAACCAATGAAGGCAAGCATGCCATAAGCCTACTTGACTGTCTTATCCATTTGTGTTGCCACTTTCAGGGAACTGTAGACCTATATGCCTATATTCCCTGGGCTACTGCTACGAAGGGTTCTGCCATTTACTGCATACTTCTCTCCTGCATTAGACTTTCCAAAATCCATCACCTTGCATTTCCCTGGATTAAATTCCACCTGCCATTTCTCCACCCTAGTCTTCAATCTGTCTATATCCTGTTGTATCCTCTAGCAATCCTTCTCAATATCTGCAGCTCCCCCAATGCTTTGTGTTATATGCAAACATACTAATCAGACCACCTACAGTCTCCTAATCATTTATACATGTTTTTCCAAATGACAAGGATTCCAGCACTGATCCCTGCGAAACAACGCTGGTCACAGATCTCCAGTCTGAAAAACACCCTTCAACTGCTACTCCCTTTCTTCTGTGACCGAGCCAGTCCTGTATCCATTTCATCAGATCGTTGAGATTCCCATGGGACTTCACCTTCTGTGTCAACTTGCCATATGGGACTTTGTCAAAGGCCTTGCTAAAGTCCATACAGACAACATCTATCACTCTGCCCTCATCAATCCTCTGTGTCGCTTCCTCAAAAACCTCAGTCTGTTCAATATCTCATCATTACTGAAGCTCCCCAGCTCAGGCAACATCCAGGTAAATCTCCTCTGCACCCTCTCCAGTGTGCTCATGTTACTTCTCTATTGTGGGTTCCAGAACTGCGCACAATACTCTAGCTGTGGCCTAACCAATATTTTAGACAGTTCCAGCATAACCACCCTGCTCTTAAACACAATGGCTTGAGGGCCTGGCCTTTTTTTTTGCAAAAGCTACAGATGGGCCCCTGAAAAACACGATTCAACTCTTAAAAGCAGATTCTATTTAGTCTCCATCTAGGCACTACTGACGAGATCTCTGGCTAGACGATAATAGAACTATAGTGGCCTCAGGTGTCTGACATCATTATGTAGGAGTCCAGCTCGTTCTAGACAACAGACTATTTTTCTTTGTACACAACTGTTTCCTTCAACCACTCTTTCTAAACCTTTCCATCTATACAAGTCTGAGTGACTCATAACCCTGAGATTCACCAAAGTTGACCAGTGTGCTTGAGAGGGATTTAAACTAAATGGGGAGGAGAATGGGAACCAACATATAGAAGAAGGGAGGAATAATTGTGTGTAAAGGAATGAGAGCTTGGCACATATGAGAGAAGTCTGACTATATATGATAGGAGCAAACAATGAGAATGTGGGTATAAATGCACAAAGTGTGATGAATAGGGCCAGCACAAATGGTTGTTTGTTATTTGATGTCATAGATATAAAGTCTTTCAAAAACAGTAGGATGGGGAAAAGGAAATGGAGCGGCCACATTGAATGGGGAAGATGTTGCGGGTCTGGAAAGAAAAGATGGCCCTTGTATCAGTCTCCCCAGTAGATGAAACATCTTCTGGATATTCACCCCGTTTAGTCTCCTCAAGATCGTCCGATCTGATAAGTGTGAGGTGATGAATGTTGAAAGAGGAAACAAGAGAGTACTGGATGAATAGCACAACACTAGGAAACTTAGGAACAGAGGGATCTTGTGATGCTTGATCCCTGAAGGTGGCAGGACAGATTAATAGGATCATTAGATACATACAGGACATTTGCCTTTATCAGTTGTGGCAGGGAGCTCATGTTGGAACTGTGCAGAATTTGAAGATAACAAGCATCGAGATGCCCAGATCTCCCTCCAATTAAATAGTATGCTGCTTTTCCATTCTTCCTGCCAAAGTCATAGAATCTCTATGACGCAGGAAGAGGCTATTTTGCCCATCAATTCTGCATCAACCCTCTGAAGGGCATCCATCTAGACCCCCACTCAATCGTAGCCCCATAATCCTGCATTTACCATTGATAATCCACCTAGCCTGCACATCTTTGGACTGTGGGAGGAAACTAGAGCACCCAGAGGAAATCAACGGACATGCAGGGAGAATGTGCAAATTCCACACACTCATCTGAGGCTGGAATTGAACCCAGCTCCCTGTGCTGTGGGCAGCGACTAACCACTGAACCACTCTCAAGTTCACACACACTATATTCCATAGATAATGATGGATCAAATAAATCGAATCCTTCAAGACCAAACAATAAGTTGAAAGGGATGTGAAGAGGGAAATATGACTGGGAAAGGCAGAATAAGAGAAAAGAATGACATTTATCATAAAAGGGACCCCTGTGAGGGAAGTGTCCTTGTGTATATTTAAGGCTGAGATAGATTGATTCTTGATTAGTCCAGGAATTATAGACTAGAGGGAAAATGCAGAAAAGTGGATATGAGGAATGTTGGATCAGCTGTGACCTTACTGAATGGCAGAGCAAGCTCAAGGGGCTAAACAGCCTATTCCTCTTTCTTTATGGCCTTACTGTCTAAACCTGGTCGACTGGAATGTATAGTTAAGTGGATACGAAGAGAGAGAGTGAGTCTTATTTGAGACAAAAAGTGTTATGTATGCTTCAATGAGCTAGTCAAGGCTAGAATATTTAGCAAGTGCTTTTTAGTTTAGTTTACTAAGGAAGAGGACATTAACAAAACATCTGTCGAAGTGGAGGTGAAGGGTGTAATATGCTAGAAAATGAGAATGATTAGGGCTGGAATAGAGGCTGAGACTAGTAACCGGGGGTAGGGATAAGGATTTAGGCACAGGGTTGGGAGTAGGGATTGGGTGTAGATACGGAATTAAAGGCCGGGACTACAGGTTGTGATTAGGGGTCATTGCTTGGATTACGGGCTGGAGATGGGATGTTCCGGTTGGAATTTGGGCATGGGGGTAGTGCCTCGTGGATGGGCGGGGCACGATCAGGGGGCGAGGCCTAGAGCGGTGCAAGACGAGGGGCGGGGTCCCATAGGCGGGCGGGGCCTAGGGCGGACACGATGAGGGGGCGGGGTCCCACGGGTGGGCGGGGCCAAAGAAGGGCACCACGCGAGCTGCACGCAACACTTCCGGTCCCGGAGACGAGCCGTCGCGCGGGCATCGGAAGTGGCGTCAGTAGCCGTTTCTGCGCCACGGAAGCGGGTGGAAAAAAAAACCGAGAACCCGGCGGTAGACGGATTCCGGCTCCGGCGACTCGGAGTTTCAGGCCCTGATCCGCCCAGGAAGACAGATCTCGGCGAAAGCGACTGGTTCCGGCCTGGGGAGAGCCCAGAGACAGGCCCTAAGCCGGTGAGTCCTAGGAAGAGATGGCCCCGGGCCTTTGGTGGTTCCAAAAGAAGAGGGAGTGGTGAGGTGAATGGGGCAGTGAAGGTAAAGAAGGGCGGGTGGAGGAGAGGGTTGAGATTAGGGGAACTGGAAAGGAGGAAGGGTGTGGAAAGGAGAGGATGTAAAGGGGTCACGGGGAAAGGCAAGGGGAGAGGAGGTGGTGGCCTCGAAGGGAGGGGTCGGGATTTTAGGAGCGGGGTTGATTATGTTGTAATGATTTTGAATGTTGCAGAAATGAATAGATACTGAGGGTAGAATTGGTGTTGAAACATTTGAACTCATTGAAGTGTTGAGAGTGTGATGTTGAGGTTATATTTTACTAAATTTCAACATTGTGGAGTAGCTATCAGCACTCCTTTCTGCAGGAAGCCACAGCTTGCTGTAAACCTTTCCTGTTTTATTTGGTTTCGGGCAGACACGAGGAATGTGATTTGCGACTTTGTGAATCTCTTCCTGTTTTCATCATCCTGCAGATCCTAGCTGTAAATTGTCTGTGGTCTGGAGTAGTACTTGGGGAAGTTGTCCTTCTGATTACTTTTGTTGTAAATGAGTGAATGAGCGTGGCAGTTTGACAGAACTGAGTTTCTCCTTTTCTCTCTCCCTACAATAAAACAGGTGATTGGCAGGACAATTGGTGTCTGGTGTTGTGCCTTATCGCAATTCTATTTGGGGGGGAATGAGCACAGGAGGTTCATTTAGATGGCTTCAGTCTGGTTGCAATTTTGTTTGTACCAATTTTGCCTTAATGAGTGGTCAGTCTTGGGTTATGGCCTTTTTGAAAGAATATGGAGATAACAAACGAAGTGGAGAAATGAGGGATGTGGTCTAACCTTTCATAAACACCTTCCAGTCTAAAGGGCCTTCTGTATAGGTGTTCTTATTTAGATCTCTTGTTTTCAGTGAGCACCTGAGTTTATCCTAATTTACTTAAAAGTAAATGCCACCTTATTCTGACAGCACAAGATTATGTAGATTTGGGTGAGGTGACAGTAACGCAATCACAAGTATCGGCTGACTGCATGTGGCAGATTTCAGTGACTCTTAGTATGAAAGTAGTGAAGCATTTTAACTGATGTGCATCATGTGACTAACTTGCACATGATGTGTTTCTGTTATGTACTTTGAACTCCTTTTGACTTATATGTATATAAAATAGGTTTTGTCAGCTGAGTTTCATTCTTCTCCCTAAATTGCTAATACCTGCTGAAATACAGTTTTGCAGCCAACAACCCCTTTCCCAATCTGAAGGGCTGACCCAATAATATTAACTTGCATTCATTTAGGCCTTTAATATAGGAAAAAGATCCAGAGACTTCAGAGACCAATAGCAAAAATAAATTTGAATCAAAGAAGCATGGAGAAGGAGGCTAATAAAAGGTTGGCTTAAAAGTTAGGTTGGGTAGGAGCTGGGTATAGGCTGGAAAGGAATTCTAGATCAATGATCCAGTGATGAGTGTTGGGATGACACGCAATCTGGTATGTGGGCCGGTGTACGTTCCAACTGGATTATGATCAGGAGCAGAAAGAAGAGCATTTGGTGTTAAGACCGTTTCAAAATTGAACATCAAACTCTGTGATAGTCAAAATTTTGAACAAAATCTGATTCTATAGGATTGAATCCTATCAGCTAAAAGCCATTAATGTTAATCCTTTCAGGTTATATTGGTTGGGATTCTAATTTGACTTTATTTTAAATGCTGTCTTCAGGATGTTCCCCTGTCTATCGTTGCCAAACCTAGAGTTTCTACAGCACTTTGTTTTTGTGCAAGGGTTTCTCAAATGGTCTTGTAATTAAAGTATCACCTTGTAATACTGACTGGGACAAAACAGAATACTTTCTGTTAAAACTTGTCTCTGAGTCAGTTATGAATTCTGTATATATCCATGTAAAAGTTGATCTTGTATTACCTTGTTTGTGAAGGGTGTAAAGCTAAGCTCAGCAACAACAGGCAAGTTGATCAGGTGGGAAGCTTTGAGATAATATAGAATAGTCACTTGGCGGAAATGGGGTTAGTTGAGGAAGGCCAATGTGGATTTGTTACGGGCAAATTATTTATTACTTTGTTTTTAGAAGAGTTAACAGTGGCTTGTTGAGAGTAATAATTCTGACATGATGTACGTAGACTTGCAGCTCGGATGTCACGGTCATTGAAGACTCTTCTCCTTAGGTGCCACGTGCTTAGGATACCTGAGTTCCAATTGCCAAAGCAAATTATCTTCACCCAGCTCAAGGGAGGCACTCAGTCATCGAGCGTGGAAACTGACCCTTCAGTCCAACCAGTCCACGCTGATCATGTTCCCAAACTAAACTAGTCCCACTTGGCCCATATCCCTTTCAACCTTGCCTATTCATGAACCTATCCAAATTTCTCTCAAATGTAACAGTACCTGCATCCACCACATTTTCTGACAGTTCAGTTCACACAGGGGAGGTGATGGCCTAGTGGTATTATTGCTGGACTGTTAATCCAGAGACCCAGATAATGTAGAAGAATGCGGGGGGCTGCCATGTCGGTGCAGGCACCTGCACGCTCGTCCCCGCATGCCGTGCACCCTGGCCAGTGGGTGTCACGACCCACGCTCCACCCGACGGCTTCGTATGACTGCCCCTAGCCAGGAGGCAGTACAGAGAACTGACAGGCGCCGGCATGCTGAGGTGGCGCGGTAAGACAGAGCGTTGGAAGACCTCCAACTACGTGCGTTATTTTTTCTCTCTCTCTCTCCCTCCGCCCCTCCCACGTGAGCACAGAGCTGCCGCCTTCGCCTCAGGCCTCCCCCTCGACCCTAACTGCCATCAACGCCTCCCCGGACAGTCGCGTGCACGGTCACCCCCACCTTGGGGGGGGTGGGGGGGTGGTGGTAGTGGTGGTGAGGTGGTGCACCTGCGGGTAAAGCGGCGTTCGGCGGTGCGGTCAGAACCAAGAAGCAAGTTAACGGACGGGTGTGGGTAGGACCCTCGCGTGGTAGGAATGATTGGTTCACATGGTACTGACACAGATAATGTTCTGGGGACCCAGGTTCGGATTCTGCCATGGCAGATGATGGAATTTTGAATTCGATAAAAATATCTGGAATTAAGAATCTAATGATGATCATGAATCCATTGTCAATTGTCAGGAAAAACCCATCTGGTTCACTAATGTCCTTTTGGGAAGGAAATCTGCCGTCCTTACCTGGTCTGGCCTACATGTGACTCCAAACCCATAGTCATGTGGATGACTCTCAACTGTCCTCTGGGCAGTTAGGAATGGGCAATAAATGCTGCCTAGCCAGTGATGCCCTCATTCCGTTAATAAATAAAAAAAGAGCCATGCTGTGTAGAAACAGAGAAGATATGAGTAGGAGGAGGCCATTTTCCCTTTGAGCCTGCTCTGCCATTCTTCACTATCATGGCTGATTGTCCAACTCAATAACCTAATCCTGCTTTCTCCCCATAACCTTTGATCCCATTCGCCCCAAATGCTATATCTAGTTGCCTCTTAAATACGTTCAATGTTTTGGCATCAACTATTTCCTATGGTAATGAATTTCACAGGCGCACCACTCTTTGGGTGAAGAAATGTCTCCTCATCTCTGTCCTAAATGGTCTACCCCGAACCCCACTCCTGTGACCCCGGTTCTGGATACACCCACCATCGGGAGCATCCTCCCTGCATCTACCCTATCCAGTCCTGTTAGAATTTTAAGTCTCTAAGAGATGCCCCTTCATTCGTAAAAAGTTGTCCGAGTGTCCTATTTAAATCTTTCTCCTCTGACCTTAAAATTATGCCCCCTTGTGATTTCATAAACCTCAATAAGGTCACTCCTCAACCACCTATGCTCTAGTGAAAAAGTCAGTTTTTCCAGTCTATTTTTATGTCTCAACCCTCCGTTCCCGGCAACATCCCGGTAAATGTTTAATGAAACCCCTCCAATTTAATGATATCCTTTGTATAACAGGGTGACTAGAACTGCACGCAGTACTCCAGAAGAGGCCTCACCGATGTCCTGTTCAACCTCAACGCAATGCCCCAACTCCTACACTCAAAGTTCTGAGCAATGAAGGCAAGTGTGCTAAGTGCCTTCTTAACTATCCTGTCTACCTGTAATGCAAATTTCAAAGAATTATGTAGCTGAACCCAGAGGTCACTCTGTTCGACAACACCACCCAGGGCTGTACCATTAATTATATAAGCCAAGATCTTGTTTGTATTACCAAAATTCAATACCTCACATTTATCTAAATTAAACTCCATATGCCATTACTCAGCTCATTGACCTAATTGATCAAGATCTCTTTGTAATCTTAGATAACCACCTTCACTGTCCATTATACCACCAATTTTGGTGACATCTGCAAACATAGTAGCTATGCATCCTATCTTATCCAGATCATCTATATAAAAGACAAACAAAAGTGGACCCAGAGGAACACCACTGGTCTTGGGTTTCCAGTCTGAAAAACGACCTTCCTCCACCACCCTCTGTCTCCTACCGTAAGGCCAATTTTGTGTCCAATTGGCAAGCTCACCCTGAATCCCATGTCTAACATTACTAATTAGTCTACCATGCGGAACTTGTCAAAGGCTTTACTAAAATCCAAGTAAACAACATCTGCCACTCTATCCTCATCAATCTTTCTGATTACTTTATTAAAAAACTCAATCAAGTTGCTGAGACAGAATCTTCCTTGCACAATACCTCCCTAATCAAACCTTGCCTCTCCAAATGTGTGTAAAATACTGTCTTTCAGAATCGCTTCCAACAACTTGTCCACCACTGCTGTCAGACTTGCAGGTATATAGTTTCCAGGCTTCTCCTTGCAGTCTTTCTTAAACAATGGCCCAACATTAACCATCCTCTGTTTATAGATACAAATATTGCTGCTAGGGTCCCCACAATATCTTGGGATACATTTGAACAGGTTCTGGAGATTTATCTACCTTTGTTTTCAAAGACCTCCAGTGCTGCTGCTTCTGTAATGT